TGTGCTCTGCCTACAAGCGCACATGTTACGCGCATGCGCGTGACTGTTAGACAGTGACACACCGGCCTCTATTGCAACGTTCTCTTTTTATCCCACTATCGCATGCGCTTACACGTTGTCCCATACCTACTTCCCTCTATCTGTAATAGCTCTATGGATTGAAATTTAACCAATTACAGTTAAGTTTACTAATCTCAAGTTCAGTAACTTTTACTCTGATTGGTCAAATTTCAATCTAATCCATTTTGTGCCATCCAGTGAATCAAAATTTTGCCACTTGTAGCGCTGGCGTCGCCTTACGCGATTAAGAATTCGCTCATGAGTTACCGATCTTGATCTCACTGGCTCGTAAATACAGCGTATAAGTTCCGTTCGGGACGTCGAGCGTGCGACACGCCTTCTAACCTAGAAGAACAATTTTTGATCCTGCGGGGTTGCATCATCCCGCGCGAGACCCGATAGTTGGGACCTTCGCTTTGTACATTACCTTCAAGTAATCGCTTAACTATATATAACGTCTATTGGTTCGTCGTGGCCGTATCGGTCCAGTGATTGGACCGGGAGCCATTAACTAGACAAACAACAACAAATACAGCGTATAACCTTTGTTATCTGGGGATCGATTTAGGAAAAATACAAAAGTGAGTGAATACTAGAATATTTTTAATTTCAACCTGTGAATTCGTTCACTTTTGTAATTTTCACAAGTTTCAGAGATACACAATCCATCTCCTCATCTTATTACGGACGTATCGAGCCTGCTCGAAACTTGTGAAATACGCAGTTTCAAGGAATTAATTTTTATTCTGGTAAGTACGAGTAACAATTTTTTATATTTCAGTAATCGTAGTTCGAAGAGCAAGAAACTTGAAATTATTCGCGGTTTTACGAATATCGTATATAGTCTCGAAATTGATATAACCTCTCGTACTCTATCATTAATATAACCACGACAGCTTCATGCATATGACAACCATGTGTCACGTACATAGACATATAAAAGATAGACTGCTTATGAGGCAGTGGAACCCTAGGTGGGGGCATCCTCCTGAGGGAAAAGGACAACATGAATTTATTTGGGTATCTGTCTTCCTCTAGTGGACGTGATCTGAAGGTGATCACGTGATCACGCCCACGTGATCACGTACACTAGAAGAAGATAGATACCCAAATAAATTGGTGTTGTCCTTTTCCCTCAGGAGGACATCCCCTACTACCTCATAAGCAGTCTATCTTTTATATGTCTATGGTCACGTACGAATGCGAATGGAGTTAGTTGATGACAGCGCTCCCAGTATTGCTTTTCAGAACGTCTGGCGGGCACAAACATCGGCCCATTCTGATTACGGGCAGTTCGGTCTCCTTATACATTAACTCCATGGTTCCTATACTGGTCAACTAGTGCAGTAAGCTAGAATGAGAAAAAATTTGCTTGTCTCACTCTAATTTATTGCACTAGTTTACCAGTGTAGGAATAGAAAACAAGCCTAATGACGGCTCACGCTCGGTGACGTAATCAGGCCTAGTTCGGTCTCCTTATACAGACTCCATGCATGTTTCAGAGATACACAGATTGACGTATCGAGCCTGCTCGAAACTTGTGAAATGCGTTACTTGTTTCAAGGAATTCATTTTTATTCTGGTAAGTAACAATTTTTTATATTTCAGTAATCGTAGTTTGAAGAGCAAGAGACTTGAAATTATTCGCGGTTTTGCAATTATCGTATACAATCTCGAAATTGATATAACAGTATTGCAGATGATTTGAGAACTTTCTATTTTAGCATTTTATGATTCTTTTTCCAAAACAATAAAAAAAAAGTGTTTTTACCTACGTTGTTTGGCAAACTCGGCAACAGACAAAAGACAGATTTTATTTGGTCCTGTTTCAGGGACAATGAGAAGAAAGTGTTCTTACCCGCATTGCCTGACAGGCTCGGCAATGGACCACAAACGCAACGTGGCCCATGGTCTAAAGAAAAAAACTTTATTTTGTGTCCCAAGGGTAGGTATGCATTCTATACAGCAAGATTTATTTTATGCTTGCATATTAAAATTAACTTGATAAGGATCCACAACGTCGTAAACATTGGGAAACTGCTTTGAACCGGCCCCTCAACGATTCAGAAGTCATTTGCGAATTGCATTTTCATAAAAAAGATATTTTGAGCCAATTCAAAATTCGCTTGTATGATGGATCGATTTTTAAAATGAATAAAGAAAAATCAAGTTTGGTTAAAACAGCAATCCCTCATTTATATAATTCGGTATGTACATAATCTGATTCCTAGTGAATTTAAATATTTTTATAAATATGTCCGATTTTCATACTGTACTTTTCTTTCTACAGAACGTTAAAAAAGAAAATGACGATTCAGTGATCAATATCGCTCCACAAAAAAAGAAAAGAAATGTTGCTAACACTTGTTCGACCACTTTGAAAAATACTAAAAATCTGAGTGTAATAAACACATACACTAAATCTAAAAAGCTGCTTGTAATGGAAGGGTGCACTAATACTGAAAATCTGCATGTAATGGATGCATATACTAATACTAAAGATCTGTGTGTAATGGATGCATACACTAATACTCAAAATCTGTGTGTAATGGATGCACACACCGAGTCCTCGACAGTGATGACCAATAACGTTGCACAAATAAAAAAACAAGCTATTACTGGAAAATCTTCGAGTATTTTGGAAAATATAAAAAATGTACACCTACCAGATAAATGGACTTGCGTAGCTTTGCCTGATTCAGTGGTCATTGGAATGTGGAAACCGAATGGTGAACCTGGGAAACGTCTCGTCGTGAAATCTAATTTAACCATTCAGGTAAAAAGATTATTTTCTACTAAAACTTACAATGATTTATTCTTTTCTGTCTTTCTTTCATGATATTAATCTAAAAACATGTAAAAATTTAATATTCTCGTAGATACCCAAGACTGAGTTCCGATATTCACTGTCAGTACTGAAACTCTATAGTTTACATCACGTTCACTGTAAATTTTCAGTAGTGAATATTGGAATCCAAGTAAGGCGTTTACTAGATATCTATAGTTTACGACTATGAGGTACTAACATTCAGGATATTGCAAACGTTTTGTGCTATTAAATTTCATATCTTTCTTTTATCTAGGCATTTATCGAGAACGAAGCAATAAATTTGCCGAGAATGACTACCCCAAATTCTGTAGAGGATATTATGAAACATATTAACACACTGCAATCTCTTCTATTGTGCGAAGGAAGATCTCGTAAACATGTGATACCATGGTAAATATTTTTACAATTCATTGTAATAATTCGTTTTTCAAGTTGTATAAATCGCCATTGAAAATTGTTCTTAAATTATGTGCAGGTTCTCTAGACAATGCCTGGGATTTGTTGATCCTAAAGATTCGGTGAAGTTACACTTTGGACAGTTTTGGTGTGCTCATTGCCGCGTGATAAGACGTAAAAATCTCAAAAAGAAAAATATTCAAAGAAGGATGGAAATAGCGCTGCTATTGTCTAAGCGATGCAACGAACTTATAGCGAAGGCGGAGAGACAACGAAAAAAAAGAATAGCATCCAAGATAGGACTTTAAAATAAATATTTCATTCGTGTATACTTTTCATAAGTAAACTTATTCATAATCTACTCTACCCGGACCGGTGATTGTGGTTTTGTTGGTCAAGGTTTCTGTGATGCAAAGTGTTTTCTAGGGTTAAATTGACGTATGTTTAATGTTATGAATTGCTGAGAACATGATTTAATTCTAAACAATTTATTTGCTTGATTATAGGATTAAATTACATTTTTATAATTATTTTTTTCAGCGTTTCAATAAGAAAGAACTTTGTACAGAAATTCTCATTCTCTTTTTTTCTATCAAACTTATGTACTCATGCATGTATAATAAATGTATATTTGTAATAAAATATGTAATGTATAATAGAAAAACATGTTAGTTAATAAATATGTTTGTATGTTTGATTGAAATTTTAATGAATGTCAGTAGGAACATGCTCGACCTCAGGAAGGGGTCTTAAGTTATTCAATTTTTCGACGACTTCTGAAAGATGATCTATCGACCTAATTTTTTTCAATGTCATCCATGGTAGGAACGTGTTACGATAAAACAACTTAACTTCCATTTTATCATTGATCACCATTTTCATTCCTTCTACTGAGTCACTAAGCATTGATACCAAAACAATCGATGTGTCATGAACACACACTCCCCAATTACATGGTTTTTTAAGGAATCTTATATTTCTTTTCATTTCTTTGAACGTGAAGTTTATATCCGCATGCATAGCTTTACTTGCCATTTTTAATAGCTAAAACAATAATTAAAAATTAATCTCCTTGTTTACAGTATGTGTATATATATATATATATTACGGTCCAACCAATTACTTTCACTTGCCGTTTACTTATATTATCTTGAATTTCAGTAGAAGTAACGTGAAGAATAACTGTAACATGAAGAAAATAATGCACTGAAACTTTAATCATATAACACTAAACACAATATACATACATGTATTTTAATTTTAATCATCAACTTATACAGTTATAGAAATTGTCTCTAATACTTTTATTTATTCGAGCTACGTTCTGAAATGTTCTCTCCGACGTGAGATGAAAATATAAGGAAATATAATTATTATATGTATGTTTTACATTATTTAAATTTGTACGCTTTACAATATTAAAATTTTCAAATAATAACAAAATTACTAAACACCTACTGATTCTACTGCACATAAACGGTAATGAAAATAGATTTTTATTAACAATAGTTACGGTATATGTACATATAAATAAAAAACTTAAAATGGAATATTAAAAAACAGTTTGCTTTAAATAAAACAACTTTAAAAAATGAAAATAAAATTGTAGAGTACCAAATTTGGTCTTAAAAAGACGTCTAACTCATACTCTTTTTATAACGTCATAATATATCGTCCACAATAAGGCGTCAAATACATGTCATACAAAAGACATATGACTTCTTGGACGAAATATAACGTAAAATAGACAATAAAGCCCGCTGCAGACGATGCTATTTTTCCTGCTGGATTGCTTGCAATCTAATAAATTACTATCGTTGCACCATTCAGCACTCAGGATTCCTAGTAATTTAGTAAATCGCAAGCAATCCAGCAGGAAAAATAGCATCGTCTGCAGCGGGCTTAAGACCATGTGTGCTACCTGGAAATCTTATACAACTTACGATTCTAATAGTTCAAATGTTGTTTTTTGTGGATTACACAGTACACAATAGATATTGTTATTGTATATAAAAATCTATGTTTTATCCCGTACCTCCCGTAGTCCCGTACTCATCGTTAATATAACCACGAAAGCTTCATGCATATGAGAACCACGTGATACGCACGAATACGAATCGAGTTGTCTGTTGACAGCGCTCCTGCTGGACTGCTTGCAATCTAATAAATTACTATCATTGCACCACTCAGCACTCAGGATTTCTAGTAATTTATTAAATCGGAAGCAATCCTGTACGGGAATTCTGCAACTTGCAATCGATGCCTTTCGGTATCGTTAACTAGCGACAGCCAATGACGAGGACGATCTTCGAAAAAGACGCAGATTTTCATTGGTTGTTCCTAGTTAACGAAAAACCTCGATAGCAAGTTACAGAATTCCCGTACAGCAGGAAAAATAGTATCGTCTGCAGCGGGTTTAAAACTCGCTCATAGCCAATTTTTATGTTTAAAGTCGCCTTAAATACATGTTAAGAAATTATTCATCTAGCCAAAAAGTGATCGTACAGATGCTACATTTAACTGGCTAAATGTAAAAAGAATTATATTTCAAAAGGTATGTATATATTTAAGATAATCCTGAAGCCCGTATCAGACTACGGATTGGGATTGGGATTAGATTGAAATTTGACCAATCAGAGTAAAAGTTACTGAACTTGAGATTAGTAAACTTTACTGTGATTGGTTAAATTTCAATCTAATCCCAATCCCAATCCGTAGTCTGATACGGGCTTTAAATATAAGAGTTGACTATAGGCCTGTTCTTTATTACTGCACTACTGAACTAGTGCAATAAGTTAAAATGAAACAAATAGATTACCTCTCATTCCAACTCATTCCAACACCAGTGTGCATTAGTTCAGGAGTGCAGTAATAAAAAACAGACCCTATGAACAAAGCACTCAGCGCGCACCAGTTCTGCCAATGAAAACCGCTGTAACATACATCTATAGTCCGTGTACTCTGTGCATCACGACCGACCGTCAATGCGTGGTGGCAATGGTGGCATCACTGCCGTTGCCGGCATTCAAGATGTAAAGAGCGCGTTTAAATTGCCTGTTTCGCCATACGCGCAACGATGGCAGATTTTAACGACGGGGTGGATGGAAAACTGGCCTTCAGAATGCGAAAGGTCAATCCCGAGCAATTTCACACGCTCGTAAAAATGCACCTGTCCTTCGAGCTGGATCTCAACACGGAGGAGTAAGTAATGCGCCTACGTTTTTCACGACTATCCGTATTCCTCGCACGATTGGTGTACCGTTGACACTCCGCCGCGACAGGCGAGCGATCTTTCATACGTAGCTTCGCTCGTATCTCGCCCTTGTATTCCGCCGTAGTTTTACCGGGCAACGCTCGACCGCTTGTTTGTCGTAACTGATGACCAGTGAGCCCTTTCTAATTACAACGAATCTCACTGTAAACATACACAAATCGCACGACGCTGAGATAACATCTCGTTGTACCATTCTCCAGCAGCGATAGCACTACTGAGAAAGCAAGGCTGAAGAGGTGGGGCCTCCTGAGCTTCACCAAGAAATCCAAGTCCTCGGTTAACTTGGAAAAGGGTACAGAAGGTGTCATGTTGTCCGAGGATGGTATAAATCACTTGACACAGCTCATAGATTATCTGTCCAAGGAGCAGAGTAGGTAGACCGCATCAGGTAACGGGGAATCAAAGAGTAGAGAATTAAATGTAGTTCACACTTTATAGATATCATACAGGAGGGAATATTCCGACGTACTGGAAAGTTGACGAGGCAGCAGGACTTGAAGACAGCCATGTCCCAAGGTGTATTTTTAGACCTCGATGACGGCAGGTTCAGTGTACACGATTGTGCCTCTGTGTTAAAAGGCTTGCTGGCGGAATTATCTGAGCCGCTCCTGACGGACCTGCATTATCCAGCGCACTGCCAGATCGCTGGTAATAAGAAAAGAGCCGTGCAGTTTCATCTGTGTATACTAAGCGCGACGTGTGCGCCATCACAATTGTGTAAATTGCTTGCAGAATTGTGCAGCTTGGACGCAAAGACGAACGACGCGAGATTACTGAGTTCCTTGCAATTGCTGCTGCTGCTCTTGCCACCCCCCAACAGAATCTTACTGAAGGCCATTCTTACCCTGTTGAACAAGACTGCGAGTTACGAGCACAGTAACAAGATGAACAGCGACACGCTGGCCACTCTCTTCACGCCGCACCTGTTGTGCCCGCGAAAACTGTCGCCCGAGGCGTTGCACATCAATTCTCAAAATCTGTCGTGTCTAGTTGCATTTATGATTAGGAAGGGTACGGAATTGTTTGAGATTCCATCGAAATTGGCCACGGATATAAGAGCGTACTGGGTGGAGCAGGAAAGAAAGTTGCTAAGCCCCAAGAAGACCGATGTAAGTTTCAGATTTAAAATACTTGGTCCCGTCCTCGCGCGATACGATGAGTGATTTGCAATTACAGCTGAACGAGTCTGTACCGGACGCTACTAACACAGCCCGCACGGTGTTCAGCTTCGTCGATCGTAAGCTAACGGCGAAGGCTAATTCCACGCAGGACACGCAGGCAGCCTTGGCTCAGCTGTACGCCCATATACAAGCCATGCCCGAGTCAGCTAAGAAGCGACGGCTCGTGAAGCAATTTAACAAGGAGAACGGCCAGGGTACACCCAGGCACGTGAAGAATTGCAAAACCAAGAGTCTCGGTGACTCCATCAAGAAGCATATCTTTCAAAGGAAGATCTTAGGCCACAAAAAGTTCGTTGACATTAATATCGGATGCAATATAACGAGGTCGAGCAGTGAAGAAAATATATTGTCGACGGTTAGTCTTCTTATTTTTCCACAGAATATCTGCCGTTATGTGTTTACTATTTGTTTGTGTGTAACAACAGCACGTTTACCACTTTTCTATTTTTCGTTGCATGTATAGAAGTTAGAAGACTCATTTCCCCCGGCAAGAGCGGTCCTTAGCAAATCAAACGACGAGCTTAGCACGGAAAACTGTGATATGACTAACAACGATCTTTTACGTGCCAAACACACGAGTAGTATAGATAGCATTAAGAATGAGACTTTGACAAATTATAAGGCAAAAAAGAAGCTGTCGGTCGACGAATCTATAAATACGAGAGACGAGGTAGATGGAAAGGACGCGCAGCAGGACACGAAACAGGGTTTGGGTTCGATCGAGCTCAGTACAAGCTTACAAGAGATTAACGTGATGATTAACGAGGATAGTCAATCTGACGCTGGTAAATTAACGCGACCGCTCAGTGAGCCGCCCGACCTGTACTCCACTCGCAATGTAAGTCACTGTGATAATTTAACGAACGACGGTGCACGGCGAAAATCGGAATCCGCCCTCGCGTCTGTCGCGACAACGAATGCGCGAAGCTCTCCTGCGGAAACTTGTACCTCGAACGTCAAGTCATCCGAGGCCACTTTGAATGTTGAGTCGCATGAAAGCGCATGTACGCATAATTTACAGTCTCCGAAGGTAAAAAACAGATTCAGGAATGTGTACGCCGTTCACACGTCGACGCCATCGAGTTTGCTACGACGAAGCTTGGCAACTAACGACTATATCTTGACTCCTATTACTAACAATGATAGAAGCATGAGTCCGATTACGCAAAGCGCAACAAAAATGACGAAGGCCATGCAGGTAAACTTTTCACGCACATTTCTATGTGCATAGTACATATGTAATTAAATGTCGAAAATATTGTGTGATGTGAAACGAAAAATTTGACCTTGATCTAATTTTTAACAGGAAACTATGATGACTCCACGTTCGAGAAAGCCAGTGATGATCGTTTCAACCTCGAATCTATGCAATCTCGTCGCTGGCGGCAACAGCTGCGATTTGCGCGGATCAAATATAGACATGGTTAGTGCAATAAACAATTGCACTTCCATTTTAGAGGAATCCCAGACGTACAACAGTACGGACAATGCGCTAGCTCACACGAAGGAAACCGAAGGAAACAATGGATTGGCCACGCTCGACAAGCACAGCTGTGTACAATCTATTGCAAACTGCTGCGCCTGTACGCAACAAAGTTCCATGTCCATAACGAGCACGTTCAGGGAATATTTGTTATCGAGGAGCGTGTTAACCGCCAGTCCCGTTGATCTTAGCTTTACGTCGCGGACAGGCGACTTCGAGCAATCGGAATCCGATTTGAATATATTAAACGATGATACGCTATCTGACAGTTTGTTATGTTGCTTGGACGGTAACCAACCCGAATCTGATACTTCCGGCATTGCGTCCGGCAGCACGAATAGCGCGAATAATTCCACGGAGAAAACAGAGGAGTTGCCTTCTCCGCGAAAACGAGGGACCAGCTTGCAACGGAACGACTCTAAAAAGTCCGTGAGGGAAGGCGCGGTCAAGAGTGCGAGAAGCGAGGAGCGTAAACATAAGTTGCGAGATGAATCGACGTTAAATCCAGCAAAGATAAGAGATAGCTTTCAAGAGACATCATTTTAAGCTATATCTACATATACGAGTTATTTAATTATTAGTATTAGCATATCGTTAAGTATAAGTAGATTTCTTTGTATACTTTAAGTCTCAGGAGAATTTCGACATTAATTTAAGTTTACAAATATGACCTTATGACGGGGTGTCTCACGCAAACTTGAGCAGGGCTGTATCTATAAAACGACTGGAGATGGGACAAAATGTTGCGGGGCAAAATTTAATGATTTAGATTCAAGTTTCTATATTTTATGCGTTTTTGTACATAAATCATTACAAGGTGCGATTGCACTTACTTTATGTGGAACCCCGTGTCTTTAAGTGCACACTAATTGACGCAGTTTTTTCTTCTCTACGGAAAACTGTTCTAAAGTTATACTTGAAAATTGTAAGTTTAGAAATTATCTCGACTGACTGATTACAGAGATACCTATTAGATATTCGCGATCATTTCTGAGCGTTGCTTTGTAATAGCTTTTTGTAAAGAAAGAAAAGCTGCATTGATTAATGTAAAAATATGAAGTTTTATTTAAGAAAAAAATAATGCAATTGAACTTTGTAACCCGCGCACAAAAATGCATGGAAGTATGAATTGTGAGGCATCCGAGATCATTTAACTTTACTTCATGACATTTTTCTTCCATCTACACTTACCTTGCACGAGACATATCCTACATACAATTTTGTCCCGAGCGAAAATTGATTATCCAACAGTAACTGGATTATTTATTCCATTTATGTGGAAATTAAATCGTTATTAACTGTGCATATGATGATATTCAGGAGAATTTAATTTTCCTTCCATGACAATTTTGATAAAAGACGTTTGTGAAAACCGTGTATTGCTATAAAATGCAACAGTGTTTTTTTATTTTATTCTGTAATCATCAAATTGCACAATACATATAAACTATATGCTTTGATGTAAAGTGTGATTATTATCTTTATGCGCCTTCAGTAAGTTTAGTATGCAAGGTTTCGAAAGGTTTACAATCGTATAAGAAACAAATGTAAAAAGATCAACTACGCGTTCGAGCGAAAAAAGTTGTTGAATCGATTGAAAGACTGTTCTCAAATAATAACGAAAGTCAAGTAAACATTTCGATAGATCGTCGTGCCCTGCGGCTTCGACGTCGCGAGTGGTCGGGAAATAATGCATTTTCTCGCCCCACGAACGAGTCATTACATTTAATCGATACAAGTCCATCGGGTAAACCTGATACAAAAATTATATACATTCGTACGTCAGTACATGTCGTCGTGACTCAAATCCGGTATGTACGCGAAACCCCGCTCCTTCAAAGCCTTGTTCACTCGCTTTTTCTGCTCCTGCTTCGACTCCTGCTCGCGCCTCTGGGCGTCCAAGATCTCGTCCACCGTCACCTTTTTAAGCGGCAGCACCTTCTCCTTCTCTATGTCCTGTAACGTGGGCGTACTCGTTAGCCGAACACCGCGTGGGGATCATTTGTCAGCGGAGCTACAAACAAGTATTCTTTCCGTTCGTGGAAAAACGCTTACTATTTCTCCTAAGAGCACAACATTCTCCCCTCTTACTATGAAGATCCCTCTCGGGATATCACCATATTCCTGACCGACGTGTATCCTTTCAATGGTACTCTGAAGTACTATATTAGCAAACTGATCGACACTTTTAAGATAGCCGATTAATGTTCTGCCGTCTCTCAACAAAACCATAAGTTTCTCTAAATAACAAGCAAAGCCATGTGTAAATTAAACATATCGACATACATTTGAGGGCAGAAACTTTGCAAGCCACATATCTATTACGTCTCTCTGTGTAATTCGCAGCTTTTATTCGTAATATTAAGTCTGATTTTGGTTCAATTCGCCCTTCGTTCGTTCCCTTAGACCCGGTTTCACCAAACGTTGCCTAACTTTATCCTTGGCTTAACACATGTTTGTCTTTTTCTAGAGTGACAGTTAGAAAGTGACAAAGAACGAATTAAGCCAAGTTTCAAATTCAGCGACGTTGGCAAAACCAGGCGCTTAGACCTGGTTTCGCCAAACGTCGCTTAACTTTAATCCGAGTTTAGTTCACGGCTGTCTCTGTCTAAAGTAACAGGTGGAAAGTGACAAAGAACGAATTAAGCTAAGCTCAAGCCTAATCTGCAACGTGCTTTCTGCGTCGAGAAACATTCTATTTTATATAAACAAATTGAAATGCTTAAAAAAATCGTCGACAGTGTACGATTATACAGTGTATAATATACAATTTATCAACTTGCACAAAGTTGTTAGACTAATTATTGGCCACAAAGTAGAATGTTTCTAGACACAGAGAGCACATTGTAGATTAGGCCTTAAAGTTAGGGCCTTAGGGCCAGTTTCACCAAACGTCGGTTAAGTGCTAACCAAAGGTTAATTGATTCTCTGTCTCTTCTTCGAGAACAAGGTAGAAAAAGGTAAGGAGTCGACTGAACCCTAGCTAACTGATAACCGTTAGTGAAACTGGCCCTTGAACAAACAATCAAACTAAGATTAAAGTTAAGCGACACTGGTGGAAACCGGGGTCTTCTTAAAGTGCAGAAACTTTTGCAGATTTCAAGCAACACGAACAAGCCCAACGATAACGAAAGATCGTGGTAAGAATTGCGTGCCTGCGATCGCGCGAGAGTCGAACGAGGATACGCACTCTCGAGCTCTTCAAGGAGCGACGCTGTCCCCGGTGGCAACTCATTAGTCTCGTTCATCTCACGCGGTCAAACGGGAACGGCGAATACAGATCGAAACACCTGTCACGGGTCCTTCCAACGTCAATTAATTTTCCCACTTCAATAGTCAAGAGACCCGGCAGTGTCTCGGCCAATATTTACTTCACTTCGCTGGCGCAAACCGGGATAATCCGCTCGTCCAAACAACGCCGGAGGATCTCGCGCCACGCAGATCTGTGACCCGACAGCAAACCTGGAAGCGGCGAGGAGAACCGCCGGTAATGTCGGTCGCGCCTTTACTCGCGCCCGGCACGCGGCGTTTTATCGACGTCGCTGGGGGCGGTAAGGAGGAGACGGTTTACGTTAGCGAACCGTAGAGGGCGGTGGCGTTACGTTGCGCGTTTCGCGGGGCGGACCGAGAAGATTGCGAGAGTTCGTTTCGCGCCGTCGCGTGCGGCCCTGCGAAGCTTTTAATTCGAATAAATCCGAGTTGACGAGGAGTCGGGGCCTTTTAACATTCCAACGATAACCGCGCCTCGCTTCGAGAGGTAACGAGACTCCCGCGGCCGCGTCCCCGCGTCGTTTCTCCCCGCCGATTCGGCCTCGCCGTTGCCCGAAGGAGGAGGGGGGGGGGGAAGGAGGAGGAGGAGGCCACTTGAAATCGCACGGTATACGCGTGGGTGAGCCGATACCCCGCGACTTTAAATCGATCTTCATTTGTCTCCGGTCTAAATAACAGCAATATGTCTCTTCACTTTCCCCAGATAGCCAGAGACCTGTCCGAGGCGCGGGACAGACTTGGACGGTTCGCCGCAAAGCTTATCGATGAGGCGCCAGCGGGAATGGAATACAATGGCGAAGCGACCGCGGAGATCGGATGCAACGTGCCGTTTTGTAATCACTCAAATGTGTGTTGTAAGTATTTTACGTGTTTATGAGACGAGACCGATTTTGTTTGGTTTCTACCAAGAATCTATAGTCACGTTAAAAAATTGTTCACGATACACGGAGTAAAGGAGTGAAGGAGTAGCTGTGAAAGAAACACGAAGCGAAAAAGGAAATGTTACATAAATAAGAGAAACACCGTCCAGTAAACGTTCTTAGTAGCACAATATATTGGCGTAATATTGGGTATACAAGGTGAATCCAATCTTTTCCAGTATTGGACCAATATTGTAGGATGGGCGCCTCCTCTTATTTATCTGCCTGTTCGGCAATATTGGTCCAATATTGATATCAATTTAGGTCTAATATTGATATATTCTGCAATATATTGGTCTAATATTGATATCAATATTAGACCAATATATTGCTAAATAGTGTCCAGTGCACTTCAATGTAAATATAATATTACGTTAATTATTATCGCGCAATATTTGCATTTGTTCCACGGCCAGTATTGGCTTTACATTGGGAAATATTTGCCAGTGCATTTCCAATATGACCAATATTGGACCAGCGTTCAACCAATGTTTAGCCAATGCATTGTGCTATTAGGGACTCATTTACATAAGATCAGTATTATAATTTCCCCATTCAACAATATAACACATGTTGTACATTACAGTTACATCGTTGAGTAAGAACTGTAACTGTTGGTGTTTACTGGGAAGCGTAAGGAGAAGACTGCAAGTAGAAGCGAGAGAAAAATTATTTATCTCGCTTAAGCCTGATCTGCAATGTGCTCTCTGATCTAGGGACATCCTATTTTGTGGCTAGTAAATAGGTTTAAAAAATTTGTGCAAATTTATAAACTGTACAATCGTACATTGTCAACAAATATTTTAAGCGTTTTGACTTGCTTATTTAAAATAGAACGTTTCTAGACGCAAAGAGCACATTGCAGATCAGGTCTTCACGTCTACACTTTTTCGTTCTCTTGCGGTATTTCTCCTACATCTACTTTTACTTCTTACCCCGCGTGTTGTGGACGTGCCTTTGTATCGGCGCGGGTTCTGCCGGCAAAACAATAAGTTCAACCTTTTCACTGCGGCGCACCGCATTAATACATCGAGAGACCGTCGTAAGCGATAGTTGCACATCCGTCGTTATGCTAATTACATTACTTACCCACGTGTTGTTCACTGAACAGGTCTCAACTGTTAGCTCATACTCAATGCCGTGGATATACGGCGTTTGCAAATGAGAGGCAATTTTTCCACGCCATATACATACGGCGTTCGCAGCGAAAGGGTTAACGCGAACGCGAATGATACCGGGATCTGTTTGCGGTATCCGAGCGAATCTGCCGCCAATCCGTTGTCGCACCGCGAGAGCAGTTTGCTCACTGGGCTGCTTAAGCCTTGTGTCCATGATCCAAGAACTGTGTCTAAGTTCTAGTTCCGAGAAATGCGTAGCCAATCACCTTGCAGCTTTTATGGAATAGCTGCAGGTTGATTGGCTACACATTTCTCGAAACTAGAATTTGGAGCAAGTTTTAGTATCGTAGACACAGGCCTTTGCTCGCGTACGACCTTATCCATCCTAAATCGTATCAAATGACTCAGCAGTGTCTCGCGTATATTTTTCCACCACCGGCAAAGCATTTCCCCCATCCAGTGTTCCATCCTTTCATAGAGCACATCTCGCTGATCGTAACAGTTAACTTCGAAACATTTATAGAAAAGCCGAAAGATCGCAGACAACATTGCGGTGTCTCTTGCAAAATTAATCATATTTTTGTGCAAGATTCTAAAAATATTCGTCGCGTTGTCGTCGAGTAGCAACGCCGCAATCTTTTTCTCTCTCTCTACGTGACATTTGTTCGCACGATACCGTAAGATTACGTAACTTTGCGTGTAAATCTAAGGATGTTCTGAAATTGTATTAGAGAGCGCGTCAGAGTCTGAAAGAGAAGAGTAAAAAAACTTTCTTTTGCAATTATACGCACGAATGGCGAGTCGACGCGACCGTGAGATCTGAATTGGTCCTCTAACGCTCGTTAAGCCATCGTAAATCGGCGTTTGGAATAAAAGGAGACGCGTATCTAGCGATACGGGCGGGAGGCGGGAAGGGGCGAGGAGGGAGGGCAAGAGGGAAGAGAGGAAGGCAGATGAATGTTCGAACAACATCGCGGCGGCAACGGGGCGGGGGGGCTCCGGAGTCCCGGCGCGCGTTCCTGCGACGCACCTGGGTCATCTCGGCGCCTATCCGGGACTCCGCTTTAACGCCGGCCGGACACTTTATGCCCCCGATTGCGGGCGACACCGGAACGCTCTCAGCTACACCCGTCCCAGAATCCTCTTCCGATCGCAAAACGACGAGGAGAGGAGAGCGCGATTTAATTTAAGGACCCTGTGCGCGAAGCCGCGCCGCGGCGCGCTTCCCTTCCGCTCGTGGCCGCGCGCGGTGCACAGTGCCGCCCGGTTCGGCGGCACGTTTCAATAATCGTGGGCACGACTACGACGACGACGACGACGAGCCTTCTCGTAAACCAGATCCGTCGCCCGCGGAGCGGCGAATCTTATCGGGGCGGAAAGGTAACGCACACGGTAATGCGGCATTTTCAAACGCCGCGCGGCATTTGAGGCCTGACGATCTCCGTCGGGGATCCTCGCCGAGGGTTTATCATCCGCGCGTTGATGAACATATTGCCGCTTTATGTCTGTCGCGGTAAGCACCGACTAACAGTTACGCAACATCGATATTATAATTTCCTACGCAGAGAGAATTTCCCTTTCTAAAAGAAGAGACGCTACCAGCGCGAATGTCGTTAAATATCGAACGGTTGAGGCCTCTTTTCCGCGACACCGATTGGTTTTCTCGGGGCGCGGTGCGCTTCACTTCTCTTTTAGAGCGAATGAAAATTTGCAATTTAGAAATGTACATTTGTATACACCAACTATTGAGGTAAAATCCCTAATCTTAGTAATTAGAATTTAAGTGACAACAATTTTTCTTTCGAAACATTTTCTCGATTCAATAGAATTAATCGTTCATTTAATCAATACCAATAAGTCCGCGGGATGATACACAAAACGTAGTAACAGTCGCGGAACAAAGTAATGTAAGATATTCAGTACAGACTATTTAATTTTGTAAGCGGGGCAACGAATTCTCAACGTTTTTTTGTTGTTTTTCACTCGGCGCGGTGACGTACGACGTTTTTGCGTGCCATCATGTGTACATACCTGAAGGTCGCTGGTCTATCACTCGCTCGCCGAACGTCGTGCCGGCAGGCAGTGTCGAGTGTCGTTACGTGCGTGGTGTTCTTTTTGTGTTATCGGTTCCCAAGACTCGATCGCGACGAATGTAGGGATAAATCGCTATTGATTTGTACACCTTTATCAGTAACAAGTAACGTTCCTCGATTAATTATTAAGTTTCTACAACTTGTAAGGAGAAACGAGTTCCATGTTGAGGCGAGGGCTCTTTCGCAACGCATACATAGATATTTCACGAGACTAACTCATCTGAAATGTGAATATAAACTGTGGTACTTTGTCGCGGTTGCATCTCGTTTACGCACCGCGCTTTTAATTATCTGTCGATTTCGTGAAATCTGTTCCATTTTCGGGATAAGAGAGAAATTTGTGCGACTTCGGCGTTCGCGCTGTAATTCGCTCTGTCGTTCTTCGCAACTCGAACGGACGGGAAGTAAAGAAAGTGGCTTATTGCACGTCGTTACATTATGTAAATGTAATCGAAAATTATCTCGATTAACTGTTGCAATTAATAACAACTATCTATCGCTGGAAATTTCGCTCACATAATTTATCTCGGGGATTAGATTGAATGACAAAGATTGTAAAATATCGTTTCGTTGCGGACTAATAACTACTTCTTTACCGCAGATTATGCTTCCGGTGCTCGCGTTGCGTTTTATATCGACAATTCAATAGTGATTTATCCATTCTTCCGAATAAAAAATGCAAGTTGTTAGTTTGAGTAATTTGTATGATAGAAAGTCACGCGATATTTGTTAATAATATTTCGTGCGTTTCACGGTATTTCACATCGCGTACGGGAGTGCCGGAAATTTCGCGCGATCGATGATTTTTGCGAGTGTTGTGTAAGTGCAACAAGGAAATCTGAGAGGAGGACGAGGCCAAGGAGGCATCGGGCAACGGCGGAGAAATGGTGAGGTAAGTGTCTTACATTCTTATGTTATTTGCTACTTGTGTAAAATCAAGCATCTGTTCTGTGTTTTATTTTATTTATTCAAATGATTCGAACGAGGATTCGAATGAGAGACAAAACCATACGTACAAAATTTTGTGAGTTTATATTTAAAAGGAAGACTT